CCATGGAAAATTGTCCAACAAAGTGAAAGTCATTTTTCATTTCATGGAACTTCAGGCCCCAGGGAGGTGAGGAGCAGCAGAGTGTTCACAAAGTTTTCAGCTCATTTTTTTTTTTTTCAAACTATTGTACCATTCTGCTCTTTCAAAACTACACAGGAAATATCTCAACTTCAAATGATGCTTTCTTTATTTGAAAAAATTGAGAAAAACACCCCCTTCAAACAACAAAACGGACCCGGAGATTCAAAGCACATCCCCACTGCCTGCTTAGTTCAGACTTAGCGCTGATATTATTGTGTAGGACTGAATGTAAATATGAAGAAGGGTACGAATAAAGGCTTGAATTAAAGCCAAAGTTAAAAGCAGTGATAGACTGAGGATAGTTTATATTGACTCTGTGTGACTGATCCAGTCTCTGTCCTCAGGCGACGGCATGAAACATACAGAGCAGCTTGGCCGGGGCTGCCCACCTCCCCAAGGACGAGTTGGAGTTTGTCCTCTGACTGCCTTGCATATCTATAAACTCTCACTGTGTTTATGAGCCTCCTCCCTCCCCCCCTCCTCTCGCCTTTAATTATCCAACCAGCTTCTCATTTACATATTCAGTATTTTTAGCAAGCAGCTAAAGTTTATTTAAATACTGGCAGCACCTTGATAGAGCAGCATGCTTTACAGTAATAGACGAGAGCAGGAGGCATAGCATAAAGGACGCACCAATTAACATCGAGCAGTACGGTCACAGTCTTCTTCAACACTGGAGGATATTTCAGAAGTGTCTCGATCAGGAAAATGTTCTATAAGGGTGCATGTTTCCGATTTATAACTTTCATCACTAAGGGGATTCAAGTGACCAGTTTATTGCTTCTTTTTAGGGTTCAACAATAAGGATTTCCCAATTGCTCAAGGCAAGTAAAATTACACGTCAGGCTATTAAGTCTAGCAACTCTCTCGCCCCATTGGGCAAGTGGTAAAGACAAATTAAGTGCTGCCTTTTCTCCAGAGCTGATGATAGAGGTAGCTAAGGAGTGAGCCATCTCGCCTCACCCTCATCTCTATGGAGACATTGGGCACTTGTGAGAAAATGGCGGCAGGTAAAGACAAAGTTTATGAGCTGAAGTGCAGGTGAGGATTTCAGTTATCCTGTAAACAGCAGTTTACTTGGGTGGTGTTAAAGAGCGTGGGCGAGACTCATGCCGGAATTCCACTTGATGTGTGTCCGTATCGGAACGGCTGCACTGGTTATCCGCTGCATGCTCCGCCATCCGTCAACACCCACCAGCTGCGTTTGCTGCGCGGAGCGGTGCAGCTCCGCCCAGCAGCGGGAGTCACAAGGACCCACAAGATCTCGCGAATTCAGGCATAATCGCGCGATATAACAAGATGTAGTTTCTATAAACAGAACCACAAAACCAGAGGAGTAGTAGGAAGACATCTCGGTGCACCTCCATGATTGACATCTCCTCGTCCATGGTGTCAACAGGGTGAAATGACGTCTGGAAACCTCTGACCTGTTGACTTCAGGCCTGCCTCCACTCATTATGACATTTTCAATGTGTAGTGCAGGGAAATATGATCCGCCGTAAACACTGTGTATTTTATTTTGAAAATTAACCAGATGTTTTATTTTGTTTTTCTGTGCTGAATTGCTGTGTTGTGCTCCGGCATCCGGCAAAAATAGAAGTCCTGCGTATCTGTTGCGGAGGGCTCCAGAGCGCCACAGCTGTGACGGGGCCAGTGGAAGCTCACACACTGACTGGAATTGAAAAGTATCGGCTCCGCTGCCGTTCCGGAGCGCAGACGCAACCAACACACATCTGGTGGAATTTGGGGATCAGTATAGCCCAGCTTGTCACAAGCAGTTTGTACTGTATTTGTACTTTACTTGATTTTATTTTCTGGAAACATATTACTTTGACTCCACTACATTTCTATGAAGGCTCTGGTTACTTGTTACAGTTGATTTGAAGTTAGTGGATGATTTTCTTTTTACTCTTCTAAAATGCAAAAGTCCATAAACTGTGATCTTGCATCCCAGAAGACCGGAGAAGTCTGGATGGTTCATAGCGTAGCAGAAGACCTAAACCATTCAGTGCTTTGTAAACCAACAGTAGTATTTTGAAGTCGATGCTCTGACGGACAGGAAGCCAGTGTAAAGACCTCAGAACTGGAGTGATATGATCCACTTTCTTGGTCTTATGTGCTACTTAGACTGGGCAGCTCATCAGAAGAGATGGGTAGAGGAAAGAGGTCATCAGCAGGCGGCTGTACTTGGTTATGTGGTGTTACTATGGCTACGGCTGCAGATGGAGATGAAGATTCCCCACCAGATCACCTATGGTCCACGTTTGAAGTTTCTGAGATGAAGAATGATTTGTATCATTTTGAATATTTGCTCTGTTTACCACGCAAAAATTTCATCACGACCTACAAAAATTCGCGTCAAGTATGTCGAGGTCTGTAAACAATATCAATTCAAACATACAATACACATAACTGTACTTAATGTTATGTTTCTCTAATTCTATTGTTTTACTCTACTGATGTATATACTGTAGGTAAATCTTCACACTTACAACCTTCACAGTGACAATATATATTTTATTCTGATATGTGTTAAACACAGTAGCATAAGGCACATTTTATTTTGATTTTAATGCGCATTTCATTTCAACTTTATTTTTTAGTGGATTTATATTTACACACTTTTATTCCATACTCTCGTTCTTACTTCTTATAATCCTCTATTCTTTACATCAGAGCAATTGTAACGAATCATAATTTCCCCTCAAGGATCAATAAAATATTTCTGATTCTAAATATTTAAACAAAACTGTCTGTGCTTGCAGTCGTTGCAGTTTCTGTGCCATGTTTGGTCAAATGACAAATGTACACTGTTAGAAATATTTTTACACAGCATTTTTACTTTAGCTGTGGATTCAGGACCCGGTGTTGTGTGTGTGCGTGAAGTACTTCAGCACTTTAACTCAAGTAATAATTTGACTCTGTAACTTTCACTTGTATTGGAGTTTGACCAGGAGAGTTGTGTACTTTGTCCACCACTGGCCGCAAGTTTGAGAGCAAGGCGTAAAAACCTTTGTTATTTTTCATGATAATTAACTTTAGTCTTTGTTGTTATGTAATAACTCCTAATACAAGAAACAATTTGTATTGAGGCAGGTAAAAATCGACTTCAGGCAAGTAGATTTCTGACCCACTTGCCTAGTCTTGCAATGGAAAAATAAAATTGACACAGATCCCTGCTTTATGTTGAGTCACTTTAAAGGGAACAATCTGTGCAAAAACACCCTGACTCACATTATTAGACATGTTCTGGAGGTGTATTTTTCATATCTAATGGATGCTGTTAGATATTTTCACATGCAGTTATTTCCCTCAAAACAGTGGATTGACATTTTTGTGTTAAATCCCAGAGAATCAAAGAGAAAAGACCTCATTCGTAAATCCCAGGTGTACCGACAACAAACAATCATGCAGGAAGAAATCAATCAAAGAAAAGGCAGAGATACCAACATCTACACCCACAGTGGCGGAAAATACACTTAGATGCAAATGCAGCTACAAAACACGATGTGATTGAACAGAATGTTTTCAGGGTGTTGTGGTAAATGAGAAGTGCATACAATTAAAAAGTGAATAAGAACTTCATCCTAAAATAACTCTTGGGATATCTGAATATCAAAGATTTAAGAGTGTGACAGTTTAAGATTGAAGTTGATTCATGAAGCCTTAGAAATCTTCATCTATGCGGTTTACATGAAAACCATAAACAGGTCTATGTGAAATAAAAGACGGACTTTGACCTGCTTAAGTCGCCTACTGACAGCAACACAATGAATCCTTCTTTATATGTGCAGTGTCACAGAGGGAGATATAAAAAGGAGAGCAGAGGAATGTTACAGACACACCACACACTCTCAGCATCCTTTGCAGCAACGTACCGTGGCGACACTCGGGGCAGCATCGGCCCTCCTGGGTGACAGCCAGGGTGCCCGGCGGGCAGGTGGGGCAGGAGCGCAGATAACAAGTCACCTGGGCATCACGGCACTCACACTCCCGGCACCTGCTATCAGTCCATCGAGCCAGGTCCTGAAAGAAGAAAGGAAAAGAGACGGGGGATGAAAGCAGAGCAGAGAGAGGGGAAACAGTTTATTAGACCTGAACCTGGTGAATGCAGAGGCTGATGTTATTATTCTCAAAATGCAACTGTGGCAAATATCTGGACAGGGGATGGACAGATTGTCGAAAGCACCAAACAACAGAGGATTTTCACTTTGAGGAAGCTGAATCACAATCAAAAAGGAAGCCACGCAGACCTGGCGCTAAGCTGAATGCTAATAATCCGCATGTGTCAGTTATAAAGGAAGCCTGACAGTCACGACTCTTAAATACACTTTCAAAGCAGAATTCAACTGACAGAGGCCCCACGGAGGACAGACAGTCAGTCAAGCAGCAGAAACGTCAGTCACAGAAAAACTGATTTAACGCCAAAAAGTGAAATGGTTTCATAAATCATGTAGACGTCTTCCCAAAAAACGTGGTGGCAGGTCAAAGCTCACAGACAAGGACGAACGCTTCAGATCAGAATCAAAACTTTTCTAACTGACAGAAACCTAACAGGCGTCATGAGCTTACTTTTTATAGCAGGACCTCCATTCACAAACCACTTGAATCCAAGGATCTTATTTCAGGAGCACAAAACCTGCAGCCCTGAGAGACAGAGGGAAGAAATCTGCAGTCTTCAGTTTCTGTGTTCTCATCTGAAATGGTTAACCTGCACCGTTGTGTAACAGCTGAGGGACATGAGGTCACCTTACACAACCGCACTGGTCCTATAATCTTCCAGAGAATATACTGAGTAGCCCAGACTCAGCAGATTTTAACATCAGTGAACCGCAACTATCATCTATTGAACAACTGAGCGAAAGAAACATACGGCTAACTCATTTATAGCAGGTCAGCTTCAGTATGCTTTATCACAGTCACACAAACATATGCACGTGTTGTGTGCTGGCTTCAAATAATGACCGAAATGGTGTCGTTCAAACTGAACATTTTTGCTCACCAACACGCTGCAGGTTCACAAAGAAGAGCACAGCACTGGCAGGTTATTTCCTTGCAACTTCAAAATAAAGCATTTTCTTGTCCACAGTAATATTGAATTATTATAATTAGCAGGTTACTAATAAATCCTCAGATATATTTACAGTAAATAATGGAAATAGCATGTTTTAACATTTCTTAAAGGCATACTATGCATGGTTTTCCAAAAAACATAATGTATAAACTCATACAAAATTATTTCTTTTTAACTTTTTGTTGTGTGGGCCTTATCATAGCATTTAGAACGCCATTCCGATGGACTTTTTTAGCTGCCTTTTTTTAGGGCCTGTTTATACGGTTACATATATTTGTAAACAGGATAAACGGAGATTTTGGAAAACGATGACGTTGCAACCCAGTTTGTGCATGCCCATTAGGCGCCCGGTAACCACAACAACAATGGCGGTTGTTTACGTTTTGTAAGCACTTTTGGGACTACTTACAAGCTTACAAATGAACTTAGCACTGCTGCATCAACATCACCGCTACACCTGTGCACAAAGACATCTGCTGTGCCCAGCATTAGAAAGTGCATAGCTGCTAACTATGCTACATAAGGTTAAAATGTAGTTTATCATTGTTTTTATCCCCAAGAGGAAAACAAATCACTGTGCATGCGCAGAGCGTTCTTCTACTGGCCTGGCATGCTAATTGCAGCAGGGATATCATTTTCAAAACTGATCTTGTAAACCCCAATTTTTTTTTTTTTGAACGGGATAAATAAAAATCCATTTTTATTTGTATCGGTATCCGTGTAAACAAGGCCTTAGAGTAGGTACTCTTCCAGCACAACAGGAACCATGAGTGACATAGCTGTTTGGTAATTGGTCGAACGTGGCCAAAGCAGCAACAGAAAGCACCATTTTAAAAAAAACAGTCAACAATGGACAATACAAAACGCAACAAGAGCTCGTAATGAAAAGAAGAAAAAAAAAGAAAACACAGAATAATGGCCTGACGGTGATGTCCAGGTTCTACTGGGTACAAAAATCGCGGACACAGCGCAAAAAAAGCACGCAAATTTGGCAAGGCAAAACAGCAAGCTAAAAAAAAAGCTTGTTCCAAAATGAGAGTGGATCTGGAGTTGGCTTTGTACTTGACATGGATGTGACGATGATGTCAGTGCCAGTGGTGAGCTCAGCTTGCTAAAGTATCAGCTTCTCTATTACAACAAATGGGGGAGGGAGGAGCCAAGTTTCAGTGCTGTGTAGATATACCTTAGCTGGCCAATCCTGCACGTATACCTTTAATAAACTACAACAACCTGAATTTCATTATCTACTAATACAACTTTAACGATTTTCTCATTCGAGGCAATCAAGTTTGAAACAGACAAGTGAACACTGTAATAATTTCTTTTCATCTGCTTGAAATAGCTTGTTAATGTGCATAAACATAGGTTATTATTCTTGCTCATTAACTTTCCCCCTCTGTGATTCTTTTTGTCACTCGGGAAGTTAAACCAGTAATAATCTAGTCACAAACCTGCTCTTTCAACCTCACAGGCGAACTGTAAGCGTGAGTGAAGAAATGCACGTGTTGATGTGTGTAGGTGCAGAATAAGTATGCAGCATATATCTTTGTTTACTGCTGTTAAAATGGATTCCTCCGGGAGACAAAGAAAAATCTATTGGAAAAGGATAACAGCTCTCTCTACACGCGCTCCCAGCCTCGACCTTGGCTGACCATCCTGCAGCATTTAATGAGCATTCCTTCTTGGCTGAAAATGTCAAAAATTAAAGCCTTTGCATTCTGGGTTTCCAGGACTAGCCTATGAATAATGAAGCTGACACCAGAATAATAAGACAGTTTCTTGTTACGGGTTTAACAGCCCAAAGTAATCTGATAGCTCTCCCCTAAAATACACATTTACTTAAATTCCCAGTGTTTGTACTTATATATTTAGAGCCAGCCAAATATTGATGTATTTGGTTGTTTGTGTAGCAGCCCCCTCTGCAGTGAGACTTTATGCCACTTGCTTTCTTTTTTACTTTTGAGAATAGAGAGTTTACAGAAGCCCTGTGGTGTCTTTGTCTCTCCCACACAGTTTGGATTTCTCGCCTGATTTTGCAATTTTCCTCTCATGCTTATGTGCAAACACACTAAAAGTCAGATGAAACACACCTTGTAGGATTCCCCCCTGTACAGACAGGAGGGTTTCACAGAGGAACACTCTGGGCAGCACTTCCCCGGCGGATGAATGACCTCTGATCCCTAAAAAACAGAAATATATATATTTAGATTTAAAACCACAGAGAAAATCACCATGAGGCAGAACACAGTGCAAGAGGAGCTGATAGAGCCACAGTGTAAGAACACCAGACTTTACTCCACTTACTGCAGCTTTATAATCAGAAACTTGAGACAAATTTTGTTTCACATTAACACAATAAATCATCAGAAGCAGTGGTTGTGTAACATCTAATTCAAACTGGTAATTTTCTAACTCCGTTCATCACACTTGACTTTGTTTTTCCTCCTTTCGGTTATCTGAACTTATTCCAGTTATCTTTTCTGTTCAATTTAAATTCAGTTCATTTCAGTCAGAAAAACTTAACTGAAAATGCACATTCATTATTATTAATTTCAAACGCTTCAGTTGTAATACGTCGCAGTGCAATTACTTGCCAAGATACAAAACATCATCACATTTGAGAAATGGCATCTTCAGTATTAACAGAGCAAGGCATGACTTGAAGTTGGCAACAATAAAACTTTTTGATGTCGTCTTCAAACTGAGAGAAATGGCATAAAGCAATTAAAAACCTGATTTTTTTTAAACAGAAGAGGACAGAAAGTCTCAAGCACTCAAGGTTTAAGATGAAAAATTAAAAGTTTAGAGCAGTGGTTCCCAACTGGTTCAGCCACAGGGTCCAGATTTCCCCTTAGAAGATCATGTCATCGAGCTAGTTAGCTGTCTCTGTTAAGTTGTTGGTTAGTCACTCACTCTACAGCAGAAAAGGGCACTTCAAAATAAAAGCTCTGTGCTGGAAAGTTACTGTATTTCAAAATAAAGTGTGTCTTTTTACAAATTCCACACGTGTTCAAGTCACTTGCAGTCCATTCAGAATGGGCCTGTGACCCCCTTTTGGACCGCAACCCACCAGTTGGGAACCACTAGCATAGAGAGAGTCATGTGTTCATGTGTACCAGAGTTTCCCACACATTCATTTATTTGTGGGGGGCCGCCAAGATCAAAACATTTGTGCCACGTTTGGATGTAGGGATGCTGGAATTTTTTGCAGATATCCGATATGCTGATATGTAACAACTCATTTGACCAATATTGACACCGATATTGATATATCCACTTTTTTCCCTCCCTAACTGTAGTGATCATCAAGTCTCTTCTGTAGTGGAATTAACATCATATGATGCATGCATACGCTTATCGTGATTGCCCACCAGCACATGGAGACAAGAAACACAACACTTTTCAATGTATGTGATACTAACTGTAGTATTAATTGTCCAAAAAAGCCTCTTGGCCAATTCCATCAGCCAATACCTTATAATATCTGTAGCTGGTTTCACATCGGGAGTCACGACAAAGACACTGCACATTTCCACCAGGGCCTTGGTGTTTTCATCCGCCGAGTACTGTGCTCCAGTCTGGTGCCGTAGCCCCCGTGCCAAGAAGCTGGACACCGCACTCAACTCCACCCTAATGACTGTCTGCAGATGTCTACAAGCCACCCCAACAAACCAACTGCCTGTCCTTGCTGGAATTGCTCCAGCAGAGATCAGACAAAAAGCAGCCATATTGGCCCTCGCTCAAAAGGCACATACGAGTGAATCCCACCTCCTCCACAAGATTGCTATGGAGAAACCACAGCGGGCAACTCCGTACAACACCATCTGATACCTCCAAGGCTGCCTGGATCAAGGCAAGATGGAGGGACCAAGGGACCCGTAGAAGTCAGCAGAACCATTAAGGCCATTAAGGCTCCACCACTACAATGAAGACCCCACAGATGTTCCCGGCCAGCAATTCAAAAATGGGGTCTAGTTTACAGTGCCCTCTGCGAATGCCGAGATCCACTACAAACTGTGGAACACATGATAACCAGCTGCCCCAAATACCAGCCACTGAAAGGCAATCGTGGTGTAATTGACCAGGACAATGACACACTGGACTGGCTTGGCTCAACGGAGCTGAAGGTCCAAGGATACACACCAGAAGAAGAAGAAGCCGATACTAATGACGCTCCAATATCATCGTGAATCCCTATTTTGATTTTCTATTTTTGGAGCTGGACTGTTCATTAAGTACGCTGATGGAATATATATACAGTTCAGTTTTTCATTGCTCCACATTCTTGACACAGATGGAGCAGCAAAAACTGAGGCGCAGTTAAGGTGAAACTAAAACACCTTCTAATTCTGTGGGAAACACTGTGATCAGATTGAAAAGAGAAGAGAGACAAATTTGTGGCATATCTGTCCAAAACCATCTTTATGGATCGTAATGATGTGACTCAGCTCCATGTGCTGATGTTTTATGTTTACACAGCATTGCCAGCAGTTCCTTGGTTGGAAACCTTGTATCTCCATGATGTAATTATTGCAGCGTGAAAATCTGCCCTGTTTTCCAAAATGCCCACCATGTATTTTTGATTTTGTTGGCTTTTAAAAGCTTTTCACAATCTGCTCAGACCTTGTAATCCTTTAAGAAGAGTTAAACATGAAAAATATATAGTTGGGGGTTATAAGCTCTGCACATTACAATGGCAATATGCCACTAATGCAGTTTGCTAATGATAAGACCTCCTCACAGGACCATTACAGCACATTTTCAGCGCACATGGCACAATAAGGAATAATAACCCCAATCACTGCTCCCCAGCGCCTCTCTCTGCCTGTTGACCCACATATGTCATTAATCTCATAACCTTCTCTTACTTATTCTGCACACTGACACACACACACAGGGTGAGAACTGCATGACTGTGATCTTCTTAGCAGAGTGACCTTGCTCAATTCAGAGCTGGACAAATGCCAGTTATGCTACTTATGGCTAATGACACTTACCAGCTGTAATTATCACCATACAGCATGATTAATGAGGGCTTATTTGGCTGTGGCAGGGGTTATTAAAGTAATATCATTAAATCTGCTTGATGCAAGAAAACATTGGAAGAGGTGTTGAGCCGACACGGCACAGAGCTCAAAATGGGTCATTTTTGGGACTAAGAGTAACTATGGGAACACCGGCTGATAACCTTAACAAATGCCGTGTTTGTTTTGTCACAAAAACTCCCACGTCCAACATCCTACATTCCTAACTGGGCCAGATAACATGTCCTCACATGAAGGCGACCACGGATGCTGCTGTCATGTTCATTTGAGGCTGGCTTGACATGGTTATGGTATCACTGAGTCCACAGATGTGATGCTTTCAGGGAAAGTGTGGCATCAGGTTGATGTGTAGCTGGGAGTAAGTGATATTTTCTCATGTTGCCAGACAGTTTCCAGAGCTGTAATTGTAGTGCAACTTCACTTAACCCCTGTTATTTTTTGCAGCTGTACTCAGCTTCCACACAGATCATTATGGTCTCATCTTGCCTTTCAATTTACTTCACCTTAACTGAGTGAATTATCTCCGATGGAGGCAGCCAACCTTGTAACCTCAAACGATGGCCCAATTCTCCCATTCCACCCAATCTCCTAAGTATCAATGGAGATAGTTACATCAGACCTCGTGAACTGGTACATTTCACTGCAGCAAATTACACTGAAACTGTGAACAAAGTAACTGCGACATCTTCCATTAACTTTTTAGTGGCACACTTGAAGGCCAGGAAATGGGATTTCTGGGTGCTGACATGTTGAATTTTGGGGGATAAGAGAACTTTGATAGAAAAGGTTGGAGCAGGTGGAGCGTGCAGGAGAGGAATCAGGGTCCAAAGATTATTTGCCACACTAATTATTAATAAAGCAGCAAGTTCAGCAAGTTCTACATGACCCCTTCGGGTTACACACATTATCTATGTATTCATACAGGTCAGGGTGTCACGTTGCTGATTCACGCTGACTAACTGTAAGTGGAGCTTCATCTTGTTTTGCACTCAAAGTGTTGTGGAAAAATTGCCTCTTGCTACGTTGGTAGAAAAAAATATGAAATAAGAGTTTTGAACATAGAAATATTTCTGAAAGAACAGCTGTTGTAATATTCATAAACAGTGGAATTTCATCTTGGGGGTCAAGCAAACTTTCACTGGGTAGAGTTCATTTCAGCAGGTTATCAACCAGCAAACTTGAATGACAAAGGAGGAACTAAAATTTTGAAATATAAAAATAATTATTTATATAAAATTATTTTATATTTATTATATAAATAATAATAAAGTATTAGCTATTTTATTTATCTATCATCACTGTATTCATGTTGCAGGCTAGCTGACTAACTTGGACAGATAGCTAATGGGCTAGTATGAGCAGTTCAAACTTGGTCAGCTGGGCTAATTAGCTAAAGTGGGTTAATTTGCATGTTAACACTGATTACGACCACATAAGGCCCGTTTCCACCGCAGGAACTTCGGGGTAATTTTACAGGGCCGAGGCCGTTGGTGCGTGTCTCCACCGCAGGAACCACCCCCGAAGGACAGAGATCCGGAACTTTTACAGGGGCTAAACAAGTCCCTGCCTCGGGGTAGGTGCTCAGAACGGCCCCGAAAGACTCCTGGCTGGGGCTTGGGGTTTACTTGGTGCTGATTGGATATACTCAAGGAGGGATGTGATGTCCACAGAAAGCAACAAAATAGCCGGCATTTTTAAAACTCAGCAGACAAGGGTTAGCTCGTTCATATAGCTTCCACTGCCATGTAAACAAACTCAATAACCGGTCCGTGAAAAACATATTTTTTCCGTCACGATGTCTAGAAAGCATCAGGCTGCAGCTGACAGGGACAGCTAACAGCAGCAGCAAAGCTAACATCAGGACATCATCTGTTAAAAGCCTCCCGTTGTCGGATACGACATGAAACTACTCCAGTTAGCTCAATCATGTTGTAACTAAGACATCCGCTGGAAAAAATCTTTTTTTCACGGGCCACTTTGTGAGTTTAGTGAGTTATTACAGACACCGCTATCAGCTAACAGCTAACAGCGTCCCTACGCCACTACGTCGCCCCGGTCAAAATGGTCGCGCAACGATTACATCACATCCAGAGCCCGGTAACTTTACAGGAACCTTCCTCCTACTCCGCTCTCTCAGTGGAGACACGGCGGTTCAGAGGGCCGAGTGAGAGGACGTTCCTGTAGTAGTTCCTGCCCCCCAAATAGTACCAGGAACTTCTTCAGTGGAAACAGGCCTATAGGTTGTTTGTTCCTACCCTCAACCCTCAACCCTCAGGGGTTTTTCCAAAGTTAATCTGTGATTTACGCAGTTTGGTTAGGTTTAGGCAACAAAACTACTCCATTAGGTTTAGGAAACAATCATGGTTTGGGTATGTTTGTTGCATAACTTGCATAATGTACGTCACGCTTTGTTCCTTTTTGCACTATGTCACCTGACTTCCTCCTTTGCTCCTGTCATAATAACTATGACCACTAGAGGTTGCCGCCTCACAATAAAGGTAAACAAGGGTTGTAATGTAAAATAATGGACGTAGCTACCTTGCCATCACCCATTGGTCCCATTTTGAAGCCTCGAGTCAGGCATTACGGCCGCCGCCATCTTGTTTTTGGAACCAGAAGTGACTATATTTAGGTGAGAGGGTGGAGCTGTGGAGGAGCAAGGGGTGGATCTGACTCATCTGACTGAGAAGCTGAGGACACTACCGGCAGACAGCCTCTTACTTAAAGACGCCAGCCCTTAATTATGTGCAACTTTAAGCCTTGAACTTTATGTACGCAGATGAGTTATAAAAAAACAATATCTTACCTCGTGACATTTTCACTAGACTTAAGACTACATTTATTTTGTATAACCCAAGACAACAAACTTGCCTTTACATTCAGTTCAACATACAACACCCTTAGATCCTCCATTTGGATAATGATGAACTACCTCCCCAAAAAAACCTTGAGGAGGAAATAAATTAAAAACAACATTGCCAAGGATGAAGGCAGCCTGTCATAACACATGCTGATCGTTACGTAGCAGCAGCTTTCCAAGTGCCTTTAATAAAACCAACTTGGCCATGATGAGTCCATGAATAAAGAAAATTCAAGTGGCTGGTGAGAAGGTAAAATTTGTTCCCGGGGAGTTCAGTTTGAGAAATATATCCATAAGTCTGAAGGCTGATCCAACACCAGAATTGTGTGCGACAATTTTCAATATTATAACACAAGATCAAACAACTCTGGCTGTCACACTAGAAATCATTTTAATTTCTGTCTTAGTATTTGTCAGGTAAGCAGCAGACCAGTGGCATTCATGTTAGAAGGTATTTCACCAGGAACGTGCTGCTGGATGACACTGTGGCTTAAGTTTAGCTAGGTTCAACTTTTTGGCTCTCTGGCTTGGCTACAGGAAATGTGATCAAACCAATGATTCTCCTCCAGCCTTTGAGGGGAGCTATGCCTGCAAAGAAATTTTTGTGACACCAAAACTGAAGTCTATAGTTTCCCAATATGAGGTCAGATTTGCTTTGTGTTTATAATGAAGACGCGTTATCTTAGGCTCACCTGGGGGCATTCAACACGACTGCACTCGGCCCTCTGGCACAGGACCTGACCCCGGTTGCAGGTGCAGAACTCACAGCCTGTACCGTTCCACATGTCCCCGTGGTACCGCACCGCGCCCTCGTACAGGCAGCTTCCCTTGGCAGCGGCGCATTCATCACAGCACTGACCAGCACGCTTCACTTTGGTCTGACCCTGCAAGGAAGCAGCACAGATTGTGTTTGTTTGGTTTTCATGTACAGTACAGATGACGGGAGTGAAGGGATGCAAGCTGAGCTGTGAGACAAGACAAAGAAAATCCAAGGAGCTTATAAAACTGCAGTTTTTGTTTGTGCGTGTGTCTCAGCAGAGAGAGATAAGAGGATGAAGTGTGTGTTGCATTATTAAGGGAAAACACACCAAGCAGTTTAAACCAGACATTTCTTACAACTTCATTTGAAAGTGCTGAGAGGTGTAGATTTACTGACGCCGCAGATGTGACTCTTCCACAGCTGAGAATTTGAGATCCTCTGTATCTCATGCAGACACTTCATGGTGCTATAGGAAACTTCTAATTTCCTCTCCAAGTTGAGGCAGGGTGTTCAAAGTCTATCCAAATCACAATAATTAACAGAACAGAGCAGGTGGTTATTAGCTCAGCTCCTTTCTCCTTGTATCTCTGCTTATTTCAGAGGAGTGGTTAGAGGCTTTGTGTCCACTGGGATCCTGTCTTTGCACTGCTGGATTCACATTTTTGTTTCACTATCATCAGTGGAGGGGATGGGCCGGGAGCTGAGGACATTGTTACTTTTGTTTTTAGGTAAAGTTTTAAAAAAATATGGAAACTTTAAGTAAAAGAGCAAAGAGCTTCAAAAGGGTTTCCACTGGCTTCACAGTAACAGCAGGAAGCCCGATAAGTGCTTCCTCCAGGCAAGTGTTCCCTCTTTATAGGTTTTATAAGAGCACATAAGGCCTTAATGCTTCTCAATAGTTTGTGCGTTCGGTATTTAACATAGACTGTAAAAAAAAAAGACATGGCTACTGTGACATTACCCACTGGTTTGTGGGCTGCCGTTTTAAAGCCTCAAGTTCAGCATTACAGCCGTCGCCATCTTGGTTTTTTGAAGCCATATTTGGGCGAGAGGCTGGAGCTGTGCAGGAGTGAGGCGTGGATCTGACTGAGAAGCTGAGGATAGTATCGTCTGACAGCCTGTCACTCAAAGTGGCACACCCTTATGCATAACTTTGAGCCTCGTTAAAATGTAAACAGGTGATTTATATAAATTCATCCCATGTATAGCTGTCTGGAAGAAAAATTAGCTATAGAGACCAAATTGTTTTTGTACCAGGCTGTAAACATGTTTATATCATGGGGGTCTATGGGGATTGACTCACTTCTGGAGTCAGCCTCCAGTGGCCATTAGAGGAACTGCGGTTTTTGACACTTCCTTGTTAGCTTCATTTTTCAGCCCCACATTGCCACGTGGTATTTAAAGGTAAACTATGCAGGACTTGCAGGACTACTACTTGTAAACTTAGCCAGCGAAAGTGAAACTGAAAGCCAACCCCAGTCTCATTTTGGAACAAGCCTTGTCTGCTTGGTGCTTCACTCTGTTATATTTGTGGCGGGTTTTTTCAGGTGCTGTGTCCACGGTGTGCGTAGCGACCTTGCCGTGCCCACAAATGTCCTGAACACAGCAAAATAATTAGAATATGAAAAAATACAGGCGAGTTTATGCAGATAAATACACCGCTACACACTTGGAGTTAGTGTGTGGTAGTGTTTGTTTAGAGTGGAACTAGTCCATAGCCATTGGTAGCTTTGTCACCTTCTACCTATGCCAATCCTCAATGCCTATGTGCAGTTTCACATAGATTGACCACGTCAGTGAGTAGAAAAACGTGGGACAGACAGAATGACACACTGACAGTTTCAGTGATTAGTTTTAGTGATTAGTGACTTAGTCATACCAAAAATTAGAAAACACCAACATTGGTCCACAGGGGGAGCCACAGCGATCGGTCGCATTTTAGCCATTTTGAAGCATTTTTCTGTTGTTATAGCGCCACCCAGTTGCCAATTAGAGTTCAATTTCTCCAGTCACCTTGAGGCGTCCTGTTCTACATATCTACCAAGTTTAGTAAAAATCCATATGGCGGTTAGGCCTAGATAAGAAATGAGCTCTCTAGCGCCCCCATTTTGTTTGATGGGGTCAATAATGGAGGGGTCCCCTCAGATTATGTGTGGTCATACGCCTACAAAGTTGCGTGGTGATGGGTGAAACCCTTGAGATGTTATACGCCTTTATGTGATGAGCCACGCCCTCCGCAATATTCATTGCCTTATAGAAGCTCAGTTTTAGTAAGTTTTCCAACTTTTGCCAAGAGGGAACTTTAGATATTGCTCCCTAGATTATGTTCACCCAGTTTCATGCAGATGGCTCAAACTTCCTAGGAAGAGATCCATTTGAAGTGTTTTTCAAAAAATTCAAAATGGTGGAAAATCTATATAAACGGAAGTTATGGGTTCTTGAGGCAAATGTGTTCCTCATGAGGAGAGGCATCTCTGTGCAAAGTTTCATGTCTCTACGACATACGGGGCATGAGATATACCCATTCAAAGTTTGCAATTTCAGTCGGTTACTATAGCGCCCCCCTTTGGCCAATTGATGTAATATTGAAGAAAGGCACTCTTGCGCTTCAGCCAAAAACACTGGATCGGTGCTCACAGCACAGGACAAAATAGTAGACAGTAAATCAAGTGGGCCACTTCAAAAAATGACTGAACTCAAATGAAAGGAGGCTGGAGCACTCGACAAAATTGCAGAACTTTTAATAGGGTGCAAACAAACTGACGTTTCGATGCTACTGCGTCTTCTTCAGAGTCAAAGTTTGACTCAAACTGTGAATGTAACTCAAACAGTTTACTGAAACTGTTAAAAACTACATATTTGTGGGTTGTTTTAAAAAAGTTTACAGCTTTTACTTACAGAAAGTCATGCATCTAAACCCAGCAAGGTAGACTACTGCAACAGTTTCTGCCCAGAAAGACCATTAAAACCACTGCAGCACATTCAGAGTGCTGCTGCAGCTCTAACAAGAAGCAGGGTAGGTATTTCTGGCACAACTTCACCTCTTTCCAAGGTGCATAAATAGAGGAAAAGTCTGAATAGGTCAAAACTCCAGCAACACTTTATGTGCAAAGACCAACTGTACTGTCAGACCAATGTGTTTCAGCTTGTGACCTTCATCAGGGTCGTTAGTTTAATTCAAATAAGGAGCACTTTTCTTCTTTTCTTAAAGGTTTTTAATGGTTTAAGTTTGATTAAAGCTTTTATAGCACTGGTGCTGGGTTATAAATTACTTCATGGCTTCAGGCTAAAATACATTTTGCTGTGCTTAAAGAATATAAACTCAGCTGGGCCCTTAGATCTTTAATCAGCTGGTCACCTCCAGTCAGAACCAAACACAGTGAAGCTACATTTAGCTTCTCTGATTATCTTAAATATTTCCCAACTTTTGTCCATTTAAAATCAGAATTAAAAACTTTTCTTGTGCATATGGTTTTTCCATTTCTCTATTTATTAATGCTGTGTAACTGCACGACAACTTGACCTCCTTTATATAGCCTACAGTATGTAATGTTTTTAGTATATTTTGATTTTGTTTAATCTTTTATTTTAGTTGTCACTTGTATGTAATGTCATATAATGTATTTGTTTGTGCATTGCCCTTAAATGTTGTTGTTGTTGTTGTCGTGTCTGGATTGCGTTTTATGATCCTCCCTGACTTTACTAACAAGAGCTCCGGCACAGAATGGAAACTGCGAGCTCAAATTTGCATACAATTAACAATTAAATGTCAGACAGGGTGTGTGTGTGTGTGTGTGTGTGTGTGTGTGTGTGTGTGTGTGTGTGTGTGTGCCCTTTGCGTGTGTGTGTGTGTGTGTGTGTGTGTGTGTGCCCTTTGCGTGTGTGTGTGTGTGTGTGTGTGTGTGTGTGTTAACAGAAAACATTTCTGTGTGGCCTTGCATAAGTTTAGTGTCAACCCAGAGCCAAATGTATCAGGTTAATTCTGCATGAAACTGAATTTCAGTGAGTGTGTGTGTGTGTGTGTAAGACTACCCACCTTCTCACAGGTGACAGGCTGACAGGTGTGTGTATGGCATTTGGACTGACCCCGGTCACACACACATGTGGTGCAGGTGTTCTTCTGCCATTGCTCGCCACGCTGCCAACACACACACAAAAGATACACACACTTAGACCATTTCCAAACCACACACACACACACACACACACACACACACACACACACACACTTACACAGTCTTACACACTGTGAATCACAGGCTGTTTGTAGCAAAATCAAAGCTCACTTAAATCCAATGACGTCTTTTCTGTGTGCTGCTACAGAGGTGTAGAAAGCCTAAGCAGTGTGAATGGCGCACACACACACACACACACACACACACACACTTGCTGTCCGGAACAAATACCAGCTATCAAATATCAACATGAATCTTTCTAAGTTCAAAACCTGAAGGAAACAGGAGCGGCAGCCGTATATGTTCAACCTGCACACACGCACACACACACTCACACACACACACACACACACACATCTACACAGAGGTATTCACATTAGTATAATTATACACATTAAGCTTCACCCATCAGGGTAAGGCACTGAAACAATTAGTCAATGAATTAATTAGCCATTTGAAGAGACAGTGAACACTTCTGATAAACACTAATGGAATTACCAATTATTTAAAGCTAACACCTGTTTCTGTGTATTTTGGTGTATTTTTATTTCTTCTAAATATTCATATGTGTTGCCATGATGAAAAAAATGCTTTTTTTGTTTTCTCCTTTTTTGAAAGCTTTTTTTTTAAGCAGTGGACAAAAATGCTGGATTCAGGTTTATCTAGTAAAACCAGTACAGACAAAACCAGAAAACAGCCCAATGTTTTACAGCACAGTGACATAAAACCAGGTTACAACACTGCCAGGTGAATTACTGTATATTGCAGAAGACACATGCCGCTTGGAACATGCAGTCAGGCACTGGGTGCTTCTTTTGTGCCTTTTTTGAGCCAGCTTTCAAGAGCGCTGCGGTAGGTTGGGTCTGAGGTTGCTAAGCAACCTTAAAATGCATCGTATAGTCTATTAACCTGAAATCCTGAGTGCAGAGCTGATCTTCTTCCAGGAGCTGTTTAGAAGTGTGTAGGTCTATCGTCCGTGGGACAGATGTAAAGCTCTGGGTAGCCCTGCGCTAACATGATCAAAGCCTCCGTGTTTATTAGACCGAATATTTACAGAAGAAAGGAAAGATATCTGTTGTGCCCTGAGACAAACAGAGTAAAACTTTTGAACACTCGGGACAGTGCTGCTCTGGCGCGTTAATCTGTGATTAACCAGTTTAAATGTAAAAACAGAGCAAATGTGATTGAAATGTGTAGTTTCTTTCGAGATATATATTCTGTTGTTTAAGCAGCATTTAAATTACTATATTTAAATGTTCAGCTGTACTTCATTAACACTGTCCTGAGCAGAATTGAACAGCTGACCGGTGCAGAGAAGTGCGCTTCTGGTGTGAACAGCCAGGGGACTGGTTGTACAACCATGGACATACCAGGGCGCTTCAGTGTCCAGTGTTAGCATGGCATTGATTAGGATCATAAAGAGTTGTTTAAACATCTAGACTACAGTACATATAACTGTTACTTTTCACGTTTCAAACCAAGGCCATGTTAACGCTGTACACAGAAGCACCTCCACTGATATGTCTGTGGTTGCACAAGCAGTCACCTGGCTGTTCAACCAGAGGTGCATATAAGCTATAAGCTAAGTTAGCTATAAGCTCATTTTCATCTGTAGTCCCTGGGCAGGAAACAAGAGAATAATTTCTCTGCTAAAAGACACTATTATATAAAAAAAAAACACAATTACAAAATGGAATATCCTCATGACAGGACGGCTTCATATATAACAAGATTTCATAATGTTAGAAGTCATAATGTTGTGCTCCTCTGTTCTTTTCTAATCCCACCTAGAGCTCTGCCTCTGTGTGTGTGTGTGTGTGTGTGTGTGTGCTTGTCGCTCTCTAGTTAGACACAAATATGTGTAATAGGTTGCATGGGAAGCATTTTCTATAATTCACAAGAATCACATCATTTATATCATATCTAATATATCCTTTATAGCATTCATTATAGATTACAAGTGAGTGTTCTTGCCAGATTTGCCCGCAGCTCATAAAATAAATAGACTAGACACTGATAATACTGCTGCAGATCGTGAGCCGGTTGCTGAGCTCTGTGCCTCAGTGTGTCCTGTGTGAACAGCCCAACTGGTTTAAGGAATACTCCACCCACAAAATGACCATTTGTAAATCAGTTAGTCATGCCATGTTACCTTGAATGCTGGAGGAAAAGTTCATTCTTCTCACATGCTTCCATGGAAAACAGCAAACATATTGATTTATTGATTAATTCTAGACATGTTTAACAACAGCCAAACTACCTCAAAACATCCGTTTACATACAACTTGTACTCATTTCCGATGATGATGATCCAGTCGTAAACACATTTTCACTTAAAAAATGGCTGTTGGCTGTTGTTAATCATGGTCCGCTGTCAAACAATACATCAATATGTCTGCCGTTCTCCGTGGAGGCGTGCAAGAAAAACAAAGTTTCCCTCACAAATTCAAGGTAACGTGACACGACAAACTGATTTACAAATGGTTATTTTGCAATTGAAGTGCTCCTTCAGCCTGGGTGCTGAGAGGTGCTTTGTGGCACTTCCACCTCCAGTGTGAACCTGCCCAGTTCTAACCTTGATGTCTTGTGATTTGCAAAAAGTCAAATCAGTGCTAAGTGAGTGGTGATGGTTCAGAAAGAGCCATGGACAGGATAGAGACAGTGTTGATCTGTGCTCTCGTTCCCTTGTTGGGACACTGAAGTGAAGTGAGACAGTCCCACAGCGGCTCCACGCCTGATGTGTTTTGAACCTTAAATACGTAATCTGTTTCAATTTGGGGTCAACTTCCTGTGGTTGTCAGATTAAATCCTCACTTCTCTCCTCGTCTTTAGCCTTGAAGAGCTTGATTAAATATTGACTGTAGCCTGGAGAATGCAAATTAATTCATTATTTCACAAGAAAGAAGACCTTTTTCACTGATATAACATTTATCACAGCCATTTGTCAAAGGGATCAAAACCCTGCAAGTACTTTGTAGAGCTCCGTGAACATCTCAGACCTGTATTAAGTATATATGTGAATTAAAGCCAGAGTGAGTGATAATAAACTGAAGCACAGATCTCTTTGTAGAAGACTGAAACTTACATTTGGTTCAATAAGAGTTCACACAGCCTCGTTCTAACCTGAGCAAACATGTTGATCTAATGAGATGTGAATACACAGCTCTGGACATGTTTAATGTGAATTACATCCTTATCTTTGAAGACATTCTTCACACAAGGCATTTGCAAATACAAAGACACACAGAAACAAAAATGATAGACAGACCCAAAATGATAGGTACCACAATTTTATGGTGTCTAATAAGCATCAGTGTTCTCAACTTGGGGTCAAACCAAAAATAAGGGGTTCCCAAAGCTCTATCTCTCTCTCACACACACAATTTGAAACACTAAGCTCCCCAAAGCACACGAAAACACACAAAAGTGAACTTTAAATCCAAAAAGTTATTTTAATTTTTCAAACTAGATCTCGATCTTTTAACAACTTAAAGTCTGGAGGATGAAAATGAGTTCATTATTTCCAAAGAAAGAGGACAATAATTATCAAAGAGATTACAGCCAAGTTTTTACCAGTGTGGGATTCACATTTCCAACATTACTGCTCTGACTGTGGTGATAGAAAATTCTTTGTTCCTATTATCACAAATTTGACTGTTTGAGGTGAAACGTGCTGAAAATTCGCCCAGTGCTAGCTAGGATAGGCTAGCGATAACAGTCAGTTTCATCGAGCCACACTCAACCAGGCGTTCAGACACAAACTGAGTCAGTCTAGCTGTGACCGACTTACTAACTTCCTTGCAAATGACAAAATGCAGGTGGTACTTCATGTTGCTTTGCTCTCTCTCTCTCACACACACACACACACACACACATTAACAGTATAATGTGCATGTCGGTGCATGCATGTGTGTATTTCTATAAGGATGTGTTTGAGTGACATATATCATTCTCTTTATTAAATCACAGATTGAGATGTCTTGACACACATCTGAAGTCCTGACCACGCAAACATGAGCGTCAGTGTGTGTGTGTAGGCATGTGCGTGTCTTAAGAAGACACACACAGACATTAGACTGGATGGGACACCCAGACATGATCAAAGGAGATACTTGGCAGCCAGCAAGGGAGGGAGGGAGAGAGAGAAGGAGTGTGTATACTGTAAACACAGCAGGAGAAAGCAGGAGCAGGGCAGATGAGGTGATGCAGACTGAGATTAGAGGAGGAGAGGAGAGGAGAGGAGAGGAGAGGAATCAGGGACAGAAACAAGGAAAAAGGAGGAAAGAAGAGGAAACAAGGAGAGGAAACAAGGGGAGGAAAGGAGACAAGGAGAGGAAAGGAATCAGGGACAGAGGCAGGAAAAACGAGGAAGGAAGAGGAAACAAGGTGAGGAATCAAGGTGAGGAAACAAGGAGAGGAGAGGAGACAAGGACAAGAGAGCTAAGGAGACAAGGAGAGGAGAGGAAAGGAATCAGGGACAGAAATAAGGAGAAACAAGGAAGGATGAGGAAGCAAGGTGAGGAAACAAGGAGAGGAGACAAGGAGAGGAGAGGAGAGGAGAGGAGAGGAGGGGAGAGGAGAGGAGAGGAATCAGGGACAGAAACAAGGAGAAATGAGGAAAGAAGAGGAAACAAGGTGAGAAAACAAGGGGAGGAAAGGAGACAAGGAGAGGAAAGGAATCAGGGACAGAAGCAAGGAGAAACGAGGAAGAAAGAGGAAACAAGGTGAGGAAACAAGGAGAGGAGAGGAGAGGAGAGGAATCAGGGACAGAAACAAGGAGAAATGAGGAAGGACAAGGAAGTAAGGTGAGGAAACAAGGAGAGGAAAGGAATCAGGGACAGAAACAAGGAGAGGAGAGGAGAGGAGAGGAGAGGAGAGGAGAGGAGAGGAGAAAGCTTGGACTGCTTTCGTCTCAATATTAAACACACACACATTTGTCAAAGTCTTGCTGTCATCACAACATATCCTAACAGATTGTGCAAAGAAACACAAAACAGTATAAAATGTGCCAGGTCATATAAGTACAGATTTATAAGCTGACATCAGCTGCGCGCGCGCACACACACACACACACACACACACAGTTACCTACCTGGTACTGTTTCCCAGCAGACAGACAGGGGTTGGACACACACTGAGGACAGCAGTGGCCTGGCTGGATCACCAAGTTCTCATGCTGAGGGACGAGGGGAAAAACAACAGTCAGTAAAGACAGAGACAGACAGATGGTCTATGATACTTGAACCAGTGAGTGCAAATCCACATTCTTCTTCTGTGGTATGATATAAGTCTACCACACAGAGCACTGTAAAGATGTGCAGTGACAATATGGCCAGACATTATGGTGAATACAGTCTTACTAAGTGTTACATATGATCAGTAACAGTCTCATCTTTGTGCCTCCAGCACAGAGACAGAGCTATGTACAAAGTCTGGAAATCGTCTGGAGAAATTGCGAGTGTGCTGCTGTGAAACACACCTTCCAACAACTCTAACGTTATGTAACATATTACATCTTGTTCATCTAACCTGGGAATCGAAGAGAAATTTCCACAACTGCGACTGGAGAATTTGAGAACTGTGGTTTTAAGGAGCAGAGTAGTACACACTGGAGACATCATGTGACTGCATGTGGTGCCTCCAAAGTTTTGACTGTGGTCGACGAAATCAACCAATCACAAAACCAGCTGAATCTTGGATGGATAGGTGGCTAGCTCTCTCACTATGCTGCATACTTTATGGCTAAAACTGGAAGCAGGAAGATGGGTGCTGAAGGTGCTGCTGTGAGGGGCAGCTGTGGCCCATTAGGTAGAGCCGGTCGTCCACCAATCGGGAGATCAGCGATTCAATCACAGGCTCTTCCTGTCTGCATATCGAAGTATCCTTGAGCAAGAACCCCAAATTGCTCCCAATAGCTGTTCCAACTGTGTGTGAGTGTGTTGAAAACTGAGTAGCAGGTGGCGCCTTGTATGGTAGCCTCAACCACCAGTCTGTGAATCTGTGTGTGAATGGGTGAATGGGATCATAGTGTAAAAAGCACTTTGAGTGGTCAGAAGACGAGAAAGGCGCTATACAAGTGCAGGTCCATCCATTTTACCCTCTACTGACACGGGGTAAAACAACACAGTCTGTTAATAGTTGGCTATTTCAGCATAACTAATGCACTGTCTAAACATTTGTTTTAAATTTTGAACAGAATATGATAAGGCGCCTGTCAGAAGATTCCTCTGATCTAATAGAATCATCATGTCAGGTTTAAGTGTAAGGTCAAAGTCAACTAAACTTGGGGAGAGATTTAAGGTAGCAGGAGCACTCAATAACGCAGGCAGGCTGAACAGGTTGAAAAAGACACGAAATTGCCAGGAAAGTTTTGAAGCTGTTTTAGATCCATAAAATTCCTTGGATGCAAAGGACTTCCTTGGTGGGGGCATAGTCATCAGGATGGAGTTTTATGGCAGCAACTAATGAAGCAGAGGATGAACGGACATTTGATTTTCCCAGGGCACCTGAGTGGCTTCATGGAAGAGACAACAGGATGTCCAGCACCACTTAAAATGAATGATAGAAATGTTTGCACATGCAGTCCAGAAAGATAATGGCCCAATCCCAGTACCCCCCCCTTGTCCACTACCCCTTAGCCCTTGCCCACTACCCCTTGGTCCTCAAAATGAAGCAACGAGGGGTAGGGGTACAAATGTTTCCCTAGGAATTGGGACACCACTCACTACGTCACCGCGTCGGTTACGTTCATACATATGTAACTATTTTAAACAGGAAGCTGCGAGCCATCTACATTTCCAACTGGCATCTACAATGGAGTCTCATTCATCCTACCGATCGCATTTGCCGCATTCATCATGCTTCGTTTGATGAACGACAGACAACAGGGGACTTCTGCTAGCTAGCTAACCAGCTAACATTACGAGGCAGCATAGTTATACTAGCTGGCGTGTTATCGTAATGTAAAAAGTCAGACAATTTTGCAGAACAGGACAGATAACAGACGCCAGATAGTGCGAGCTAGCTAGCTAGCTAACAAGCAACCTGACGATGGTAACGTTAGCTATGTATGAACTTTTTTCCCCGTCTCTTGCTCGGTGGTAGCCATGGCAATGTCAAGTCAGCATCTGAAATCCCTCGCTCCTAAGAGCTAGTTTCATACCCACTACCCCTCGTTGTGCCCCCTACCCCTACACGCAAAAAGGAATTGGGACACCACTACCCCTCACAGGAACGCACAAATGTAGGGGTAGGGTCGGGGGGTGGGGGGTGGGTATTGGGACGGGCCCAGTGTGTCTGAGGCGAAGAAGTACACATTCCTTGGACCAGCAGCTGATAGAACCACTGGTGTTAAGAGCCATACACATGCTGTGTTTTTTGCGCCCTCAAATTCATTGTTTTCAGTGAAGATGCGCGGCAGGTGCACTACGCCAGAGCAATGCCGCCACGTTGTGGATGTGTTCCTAAGGACTCATTTTTCAGGGTATTACAACTACGCTCTGAGATGAGTTCAACTTTTGGAACGCAGCAGGACGCACCCCATGTCATGTGACGAGGACCAACCATTATAGTCGACAGATATCTTTGCATTCTTCCGTAATTATCAGTCTGTGGCAAATATGGAAAAGTTGAACATTTTGGTGCAGGGCTGCCAGAGCTCTACATCTGTCCCACAGATGATGGGCCACACACAATAGGCTTTGATACAATGCTTGTTAAGGTTGCTTAGAAACCTCAGACGCAACCTCCCACCGCGCTCTTGAAAGCTGGCTCGAAAAAAAAAAAAAAGGCACAAAAGTAGCACCCAGCACCTAACCTTGTGTTTTCCAGGCGGTTAAAGACGCGGCATGTGTACGGCCCTCAAGTACATCTGAGCTCAAAGATGAGCGTGTGGCATTTAGCCTTTGAGTGGTGGCGTTGCCTTTCGTCACACTCCTGAGGGATTTATTTTAATGTTTCCACCTCATTGTAACATATAATGTACCACTGTGATTTGGAGAAAAAAAAAACAAATCAAAAGTCTGTATTTGTGAAAAATTGCTCTGAGTGATGCGACAATAAAGCCAGCAATAAGGAATGTAAGAAGAGAAAACAAGGTCATCTTTGTCTGGTGTTACATACATGGCTTCCATTCCCATTCTAAGAATAGGCGTATAAATATGACAGATAATCAATTATGTATTGATTTAAATGTGTTGTTTTCTGCCCTGACTTCTGGATTTCAAGGCAAATAAAGCAGATTTCACAAAAAAGCACAAGTGTCAGACTGTTCCTTCAACATCCCATGCCAATAGATTCACTGAGTTTGAACAAAGTCAACTGAGATGGGCAGGCACAGAGCTGGTGGAACTAATAGCATGGACATCATTAAAAAAAAACTGTGTGTTATATTTCCAGAAACTCACTGGTTTGCAGGCCACTTGCTGACACTCTACAACTGAACACTGGACGTCCCCGTTGCTGCAGACACATCTGGAACATTGGCTGGGCTTCCACTCTTCACCGTCTCTGTATACAGTCCCCTGCCAGGAGCAAGACTCTGACACACACACACAAACACAGAATGAGTAAACAGTGATAATGGTTGTCAGGTAATGAGCTAACTGTTGGAGCATTGTTTGCCCTCAAACTCACTGATTTACAATGAGGGGGGGGGGAAGAGGTCGCTAATTAGCTGCTAACCGTTGGGATGCATCATAGCTGCTCCAAGACATCATTAGAGACGAGATTAACCTTTCAGCTCGGCTCCAGCTGCTCTGCGCACTCTTAAAAGTCAGGGTTTGTCGTGACAACAACCGTTCTGAGTGATCTCTAAATAATCCACTGAAGACCGGACCAGTGTTGAGGTTAGTACATCAAAAACAGCAAATTAAAATATAAAGGGTCATCAGAGTTTCAAAATAGGCGTCAAAAAAATATAATGAATTGAACAGGATTTATTTATTGATCTAAGAGGATTGTTTGTTTTATGGTTGTAATTTGGAAAATCATTAAATGATGATGAGAAGTCACCAGCTATAGCCAATTTCCAGCAACAATCACACCGACACACAAAGAAATAATGCTCTGTATCACTCGCCACTGTAACCCTGACAGCATTAATCAATTTACTATATGAAAAACATTTATCTCCTTGGTTAAGATTTGCATCGGGAGCGTTTACATTTTTATTGCAGTTTTGTGTGGTTGGATGCACCAAACTCACATCGTCTGACTTTAGAGTAAAATCTCTGGGACCCAATTAAATGATATGATGATAAATTATGAAATGATAAATTACACATATTCTCTTGGTATTGTTTTAGAAAATTATATATCCAAAGACAACATTTAGCTGCAGCAGTATTGCGGTTGACGGCCAACTTATGGTTTACACACAACAATCATTAAAAAAGAATAAAAACAAAGACAGAGAGCAAAATACTCTGGAGTGGTTGAATAAAACAAGTCAAGGCCTCGCCCATTGAAGGAGCATCAGTTATGCTCATTTGAGGTTAGAGGAACATGAACTGAGAGCAGAGTTCATGTTTATTGAAAGAGGAGAAAGTGAGCTAACCTGAGGCAAAGTGCTGCTCTATACGACTGTCAGCTCCACAACAAACACACGCAGACTCAGATTTCCTGCGAGAGTGTGTGAGAGCAGTCCACAGGGCAGGCCATTGTGTGTGTGTGTGTGTATGTGTCTGTGGGTGTGTGTGTGGCAGCCCTGAAATAAGTAACGCTGTTTCACTGTTTCATAGAAGTGTTTATGCACTATATTGTGTATTTGTGAGATTTCTTTTGTTTTTGTTTGCCTCTCTTTAACCAGCAGTATCGGGTATCAAGAGAGCTGCAGCTACAGTAAAGATGCCCTTGAGGAAGGCACTGGAATATAAGTGGAGCTGGTGTTGGTCAGCAGCAGCAGCCTCAGGTCTCTTCCAGGCTAAATGAGTGGCGTTATTCATACGACGGTGGAGCAGGACATCGCTGACACATCGTAGATAGATAGTACAGAAATTACCCAGCAATGACCAGTCTCACTAAAATGCAATCTGAATTCCTACACCCTGGGCAGTGATCGTTTTTCTTTTGTGATAATTTGAGCTCTTGGACGAGTTTCCAGTGTTTCCACAGCACAAATTAGAAATGTGGATACAATCACACTGTGCTGTCAGACAAGCAAACTCTGTTTACACAAAACAAATAAGTAAACATGGCTGCTGTGAAAAGGACTGTTTGTGTTTTGTCGCTCTCAAGATTTCTGCATCCTACATGTGTAACTCTCAAAGCTTGCATGTCCACAAGCAATTAAATGCATTCCAAACACTCTCAACTGCATTAAAATTCAACAACATCATAATCTTAACTTACAAAAATAATAAGAAAAATTAAGGTGATGAAACATCCACTGTACGGAGTTAATTTTCATATCCACATGACATAAACTGAAACAAAATGTTTGCCTGGAAGCAGGACACCAACCTCAACAGTACACAGTACAGTTAATGGTACAAACAGAGGGACTTGTAGGTAATAGATAAAATTAGGGCTGGGCGGTATGACGAAATTTTCATATCACATTTTTTTTAAAAATCCTATTGGTTTCACAGTATTTGACGGTATTTTGCTCGGGTTCAGCCCACTTGACATGCTGCTGTGTTGTGTTATGGTCTATTCAAGTGCTGGAAATTGTTATTTACGTGACAACACCTGAACGCAACACAGGCTCCGCTCCATTAGTGCCGTGCTCGGTTATAATTAACCTATGGCTACGTCGCACCCTCGAACGTGATGAGCCAATCACAGTGCGTATAGCCATTCCCATACACTTGGACATTCTCTGCCTGGACGTCCATTGTAATGCATTACAGAAAGTCAGTTTTGTTCGGTTTTATGAGCTTTTTCTGAGATTTGAAGTTTAAAAATGGTCAAAAGGTGTGCATGGGGTACATGCAACTCTGACACAAGGTATCCTGAGAGGCTGGGCGACCAGGTGTATTTTTACACTTTAAACCACATCTCAACCGAGAAAAGTGTCTCCTTTGGATAAAGTTGTGTGGTAACGTTAGACCACAACATCAACTCAACGTGAATAAGATTAACAATGATGTCTACATCTGTTCTAAGGTAAGTCAACATTGTGTTTGAGGCAACATATTGTCACTTTGCTGCAAAGAAATATAAAGTTATCTTTAACATCTCTAGCTAACGTTAGCTAAAGTTAGCCTAACGTTAGCTCCTAGCTGCGTTGTTCATCATGTCACCTTGTTTGCTGGGAGTTCATTAGCCTGTTTTGTTCTAGTTTTGTACTTTGGTGATCGTACATCATTGTTAGCTGTTGTCCAAAGGGCTCTAGTTAAGCTAACGTTAACTTCTGGAGCTTAGCTTCATTAACTTATCTGTAATGGCAGAGATAACAAAGGTTGGCAAACGTTATGCTGAATGATTCAGTGTAAATACTGTAGCACCAAACTAACGGAGAGACACTCTTGGTAAAGATGGTAAAAAGGCCGTTATCCTTTTCTCACATTCTGAGCCAAAAACCTTAACTTCAGTGGCACTTTAACTTGTTGTCTTTGATGGTGACGGCAACGAGATGCGGTTCACAAGCGTACACTGTGACCTGTAAATTTTGGCTTGTAATTTAAGCTTTTCATCGACCTTCTCAACAATAAAATGATGAATATATCCCTCCAATGCGTAGTTTAGGCCCTTTTGGTTACTTCTCAATGACATCATCGTTATGTCTCCAAAAATAATCAATTGCCTCCTGTGAAATGCCGTGTACTGTGACACCTGCCATAGCGCCGCTCACTGAATGTTGATAGTTTGTATGAGTGAGTGGAGGGGGGTGTGGCCAATTGTCATGGACTCAGGTCGTCTTCGGTCAGGAAAATGCGGCCTGAACCACGCTCTAGTGTGCTCACCTGTGTGTGCGTGCGTGTGTGTGTGTGTGCATCGGGGCAAAACTCCACTGTGCGCGATACAGAGAGCCGAGGAGAATTGTAAACGGCGGTGCGCCGCTGCTAGTTGCATATAGAGGAAACACTGCTCTTAATAGTATGAGTTCTTCTGGGTCATTGTGTACAGTTGCTTCGCTTTCAGGACTCTCTCCGGCTTTAAATTTTTCTCTATGCTCTCACTCTCGCCAGCTCGAGCACACCTGTAGTGTGCAGTGGCGAAATAGGACCACGCTGAAACACTTTCCCGCCGCGCACATTCTGGACGTTGTTTGGGCTATTCACCGGTATTGCGGTATATGAAAAATTCATATCATAATGAAAATAAATATCGGTTTTCAGTACAAACCAGTATACCACCCAGCCCTAGATAAAATCATACCAAATTGATATTAATCCATATAACCACTGCACTACTATGCCACACAAAATGATATGGTCCTCTCAAATCCATAAGACAGTGGCTGAATTTGAAACGAGTATGTGCAAAAGGGCCTGTTAGCACCCTTACCTCCATTGCGGCCACATTTGGGGCAGCACTCTCCAGCCGGAGTGAACGGGCTCTGGTCCCTGGGACAGCTGAGAGGGGGGCAGGGGCGAACGTTGCAAGATACACTCCCTCTGGAGCAAACACACACCGAACAGGGTGAAGGACTCCACTGGCTGTCATGCTGTGGGAAACCACAGAAACAGACAGACAGACAGTTACACGCAGAAATACAACCAGAGGGGGAAAAAGAGAGAGGAAGAAGCGGAGAGAGACAGAAGGATGAGGAAAGCTGTTTTGCTCTCTGTGGACGAGACGACTTTGTAAGCCTAAGCCTGAGTGACAGACGAGAGAACAGAGTCACAGAGGGGGGAGAAGGTAAGAGGAAAGATGTGTCAAGCAGACCATGGGAAAAGGGAAGGAGAAAAAAACAAGAGGGTGTATGTGAATGTGTATAAGGCAGCAAACTGTGGGAGGACATTACCTTTAAATCTGAAAAGTGAAATGCAGATGTTCAATATCAGTTTGTACAGAGTTGTTTCAGCAGAGCAGTATGTGCTGTAAAGAGTAGTTTCAAAAGTTGGCTCAGCTTTAGGCGAGCAGGAAGCTTGTTGGCGATCTTCCTAGATTTCTCCACCTCACTTGAATATGTGTACATACTAGTGCTACGAAAAAGCCTCAGGCCAACATGTTATGTGGTATAAAACCATGAGGATGTTTCTCTTCAGTGATTGACAGAGGTGGATCAATGAAATCAATACTTACGCAACCATCTCTGAGGTACTAATTAGAGTGGTACTTAGAGTATAATACATCCATTTGTGGATATTTTAATTCAGTTTTGTTCTTTCTCTCTTAATGAGGTATCAGCACGTCAATGTCGCCTGCAGTCAAAATGATAGAGGTGAGGATCTGGCTTTACTCACTTTCTGAGGCGTCAGGCTGTGCAATAAAACCTTCTTTAGCCTGCATGAAATATATCATTAGTGTGAGTGTTAATAGAGAATTGATCTAAATGCTTTTTCACCCTGGAAAGAATAGATTTCTGTGGCAAACAAGCGAGAACCTTTTTATAGTTTTGGCAAGCAGCCAATATGAAAATTCTTCCTTTAAATATGGAATATGTACAATCTCTCTAATGTATGCTAAATTAAAAGTTTGGGTCATGACCACAGACCAGGGTGCTGAATCTGGATCTGTCCTGGCTCTTTCAGATACTCTGCATATTAGCTACTCATAGATTCAAAAAGATTCAGAAGTCTGTCAAAACATTGGTTGACCATAAAAACGTCAGCCATCCTTAAAATCATAATCCTGTATGACCTTGGGTGTCTGCAAAAAGACAAGAGCTCAATCAAGCAGTGGTGACAGCTTGTAAATGCTGTTACAGCTCTCACCACTGTTCTTCAGTGAAGATGCAGTAGAGCCCTCAAAAGGCCACGATTCCTCTCCAAACTTCCTCTCCTGGTAGTTCAGATCTGTTTAAAGTGCCACTCCACCAGGGAAGTGACGCCAATGGCTTTGTTCTTCGCTTGAGGACGTGTGCTGTCCAAAATGGCTGCCAAACAGTCCAGCTCGTTAAGCCGGAGGCCACTCGATGGAAGTTGAACAAGACAGTGATTGTTACTTTAGTAACAGAGAGGCAGGAAGGGGTGGGTCTTTAAAACAGTTTTTCAGCAGTGACCAAATTTAACAAACAAACGGCATGTGATTTATACGTTTAATCACCTTGGATGCAACGTTTTTCATTTAGGGTCTCCCACCGAGACAAGTGAAAACACCACATACACACAGACCTAAAATATGTGATTGTTGAACTTTCCAAAACCAATTTATTTGCTACTGTAACAGCCTCCTCTCTTCAGGTTTTAGGCTTTCCACCAGATTTTATAGCCTGGCTGCAGGGATTTGCACCCAAGGACGAAGGACGAACCCAAGGTGATATGTAAACTCATCTTCATTGGTCGACTACAAACATGACGTATCATCTGAAACATGGAAGTAGCTACATGCCCATTAGCCCACAGCGTCATTAACAGGCGGCTCGCTCAGTGTGTGACGTGCACTTGTAGATAAAATATAGGCCTATATTAATGAAGGTTCATTAGTACGGTTTTGTATTTCTCTGTAATGTAGCACAGTGTTAACAGTGTTACTGATACTATTCTTTCTCACACGCGACTAGTCGACTAATGGCCCTAACTGACGACTATTGGTCAGTGAGGAAAAGCCCTCTAGAAGACACACCTTATTTTAGAGTACAGTGAATTTCCGGCACAGAACTTTTATTTTAAAGTGCCGTTTCCTGCTGCAGAGTGAGTGACTAACTGACAGCTACTTGACAGAGACAGCAAACTAGCTCAACGACATGGCCAAACGCAAGAATGATGCTGAATATATTTTACTGCATGGACCTTGAACTACTGACTAAGGAGAAATGTGGACCCCGTGGTGGGACCAGTTGGGAACCACTGATCTACAATATTAGTTTGTATTCAGTAGTAATTTCCCTGCACCAGAACTGAGATGCCTTGACCAAACCAAAAGTATGTAGACAGAGATGTTCTTATACTCAGGATCATGTAATATATTTTTAAATGGATCTACAGAGGCTGCATCTTATGTGTGCATATTAAGGTTTTGTAGAATGGTTGATTGATCAGGAGAGAAGGAAAGACAGAGCATAGACACAGAAGAAGAGTCTTTTCTCCGTCCTCTGTCACTTTGACTTACTCCATATACAACTCCTTCGTACTGGCAGGAGCCCTGGGACGAGGAGATGCAGTCCGGACAGCACTTGTTGGCAGGGATCCTCAAACGCTCGCCCTTTAGAAAAGACACACACAATATGAATACACTCCTAGCACAACCGAAATACACACAAATCCCGAGAGACAGAGAGAGAAAATGGTGTTAGGTGCCTTTAACCAGCATGAATACAAAATTTGTCAATTACTGTCTGTCCATTTCCATGGAAATCACAAATAGCAAATAGCACGACCGAAGTGATAATAATGAAAATATGAAGACTCTATCAGGCATACACAGTGTGTAGAATGCAGAGCAAGCGCAATGGAGGTGGTACAATACAGATTCAACATGCAGTCCTTTATCCGCACTGCCTACACGCCCTGATTGAGGCCGCAATGTGTGGAAACAAGCAAATGGGAAAGCAGCCAGGGCCAGAAGCAGAGCCAGTGAATAGTTTAGGTGTCGTTTATTTGTGAATACAAATGCTATGGAATGGAAAAAAAGAAGGAGGGGAGGAATACAATTTATATAAGGTGAGAAAAACAACCCCCAAGGAGCTTCAGAGAATGTCTTGTGTCAACTGAAAAAGAGAAAAAGGACTGAATAGAGGCACACCCGAAGACATATTACATGTGAATAGGCAGAAGAATGGAAACGAAATGTATACATAACAAGTATGGGAAATAAAAAAGATGGAGAGGAGCTGTAGAGCAAGTAGCAGTTGCAATGAATAAACAGACAGACCAAGGGATTATATTGTACTTTCAGCTGGTCATCAATCGCCTGCGAACACACAAACATCAAGACCACCAGCTGAACTTGACAGCTGGCGAAAATCCATCCATCACAACAGCATTTGTGTTAATAAATTAAACACTAATAATCTAAACCTCTAAATGTTTTCATACATTCATTTGTTCTTGTATCTCTTTTCCTGAACTTGTCATCTTTCAGTCTCTCTAGCCTTTTTTCTGTCTGCAGCCTCAAATTTAATTACCAAAATATGGCTGTAGTACAAGAATTTGATCCAATTTCAGATTTTATTGCTGCAAATAAAGAGAGATGGTTCAGGCTCAAAGAGAACAGAGTTCATTTATCATTGGACTGCTGCATTCTCACAGTAGTAAGGCTCAAGGTTTTCCACTCCTGCCGTTTCTTTTGCTGGGGAATAGAAGGTAATTACATGGGGGTCCTGTGCTTCTGTGAAGGATCAGCCGGTGAATTAAAGATTGGCTAACCACTTTCTACTCTGTTTATAAAATAATGTAAACACAAACTTTATGGTTTCAATCAAATCAATTTTTATCAAACTGATGCAAGGTGTGATGCGGGGGCTGTGCCGGACCGTTGTGGTCAAGAGAGAGCTGAACCAGAAGACAAATCTTTTGATTTACTGGTTCATCTATGTCCCAACCCTCACCTATGGTCATGAGCTCTGGGTAACGACCGAAAGAATGAGGTCACAGATACACGTGGCCAAAATGAGTTCCCTCCAAAGGGTGTCTGGGCTCAGCCTTAAGGTGCGGACACACCAAACCGTCATCAAAAACTAGCGGCGACGAAAGCCAACTGTTGCGTTGTCTACGTCGCCTCACGTCGCCCTGTGTCAGTTGCATTTCAACACACTACACAGACTACAACCAACGGCCAAGTAGTTTGTACATTCTGCGCTTGCGTGAGAGAGAGCGGAGTGAGAGAGTGGTACATCCTGTCAGCCGAGGGGTTTCCTATCTGTGCAGCCGAGCACCGCAGCACCTCCACGGACTATTACATCCAGACGGTCCCGGTGTTACCTCCACAGGCTCCACTTCACTCAGCTGCCAGATAAACCCGCTGCTTCTTCCCACTTTAACCTGAATAACAAACCAGAGCTCAGTACTCCGGTTGGATCCAAACGGAGAGCCAGGGCTAGCTGGGAGGCTAGCGGAGGCTAACTGGCTGTACTTCCCTCTGGTCATGCTGTGGCTAACGCAACGCTAGCCGCTCACAGCTAGCTCCAGTTTGTTTTTCAGGTTAAAGTGGGAAGAAGCAGCGGGTCTGTCGGGCAGCTGAGTGAAGTGGAGCCTGAGGAGGAAGCACCGGTTAGCCCCGGTTTCACTACAGTCAGATTCACTCGCTACAGGGGCGAGGAAATAAAACCTGAACAGCCAAACAGAGTGATCTCTCTCACCGACAAGCTCCGCTGCCGATTCAACATGCTCAATCGGCCAAAAAGCCGCCAACGCCAAAGTGCTGGTTCTGGCATCTAATCAGGATGCCTCCTGGGTGACTCCTGCTGGAGGTGTTCCAGGTATGTCCAACTGGAAGGAGACCCTGGGGTAGACTCAGAACATGCTGGAGGGATTACACATCTCATCTGGCCTGGGAACGTCTTGGGTTCCTCCAAAGGGAGCTGGAAAAGTGCTGCTGGGGAGAGGGACGTCTAGAATGCTTTGCTCGGCCTGCTGCCCCCGTGACCCGGCTTTGGATAAGTGGTTGAAGATGGATGGATGGATGGATGGATGGATGGATGAATGGATGATGCAAGGTATGCAGATAGAGTTTTGATGAGGGGGCTAAGTTCCCTGAATTTCTAGACTCAGTCAATATGCATCACTTAGAATATGCTGTTTGAGCAAACAAAGACAACAAGCGAAGGATTTAGCCGGCCTATTCAGACATAAGAAAGGCAGAAATATTAAGACACCCCCCGTGAAATTTAGAGATGGATTTCAGTGAAGTCGATAAGGTAGGAAATTCAAGCTTGCAGATAAGGGCTGTGGATTTCAAAAGAAAGCCTTATAATCAGAGACAGACAGATGATAAAAGCCCTAATACTCCTTTTATCACAGCGTAGGTGAGAGGGAGTCACATTTTGAGAGCATTTTAGAGGGAGGGAGCACACGGCTTGGTGAGCATGATGACTAATTTTTAATTAACAATGGATTGCTAACCAGCAGAGTGGAATTCATTAGGCATTGATTGTTGCCTTAGCTCAGGGTTGGGATTGGATTTGATGCCGTCACTGCAGGCTTTGACGTTTAAATCACATTTAAGAAGAAGCACTGGGAGGAACAGCCGGATAGATGGATTAAAAAAGGGCTTTGAAAATGTGTCCCTGTGAATTCAAATGAGCCAAAAAAGCTAGGCTGGAACTAACCATCTCCGAACAGTTGTCATTGTGGCAGATTAAATGGTGCAATCGGCAGACTTCACTGCACAATAGTCTGTCATTTCATTGATTCTTGTTGTAGGGGTAACACACAAAGACAAGTGATTAAATGGGCCCTTGAAAGTAGATCTGCACTTCAAGGTGAAATGAAAAGAGGGAGATTAAAATATCACAAAGAGGATCCTGAATATTTAAGGCTATTTATTTTATTCACTTACTGTTTGATTGTGTTCAGATTCTGGTTGTAGTTGAAGAGTATTTTATATTCTGTGGCTAAAAAAACACTTCATAACTACTAAATAAACAATGAAAGTGGGTCTGCAGTTTAAACCACATAAAACACATAGTTGTAGGTGTAACTGAACTTTTTCCATGCTCCCACTCTTTTCAAAAACTTTCAATCACTTGAAGGTTTGAGCGACTTCTGAAAGTATTTCTCAGAGGCAGAGCTGCTTTGGAAGAAACATTTTATTGTTAGACTTGAACTTTTTTTGTCCCAGCTTCTGGAATTTCCACACTGCTTGGATTATCCAGTGTGAATTTTGTTGATGGAAACCATAATGAAAATTTTCTGTCAACGACCTTTTCTCCATGACGAAAACGAGACGATGATGAAAACAGATCTTGATAATGAAAACTAAGACTAAATCTATGTTTAATTTTTGTTGCCCAAACGAGACATGACGCAAATGTTAGTGGTGGACTATTGGGCATCGAAAGCCGGGAATGGCCGTGCTTGCAATTATTTTCAAATGCTGCATGAGCAACAGGCTGGCAAACTCCAACAATTAGTCAGTGACAGGATGTTTGGCTAACCAACAAAAACCCTCACACCATAGCAGCATCAGCCGTTGGTGCAAGGTGTAAGCAGTACTTCAGCAGTAAATAATCAGCTGTGTGTGTCTGACTGTGGATGGTGGAGCTGCTGAATGAATTGTGGAGTTTGTTAGTTGCAGCGATGCCTGTTACCAGTCAGCTCCGCTCATTAGCTGCTAAACCGCAGCAGAGCAAGCAGCCAGCAGCAGTGAGACCTAACAGCTGATCCCCATGGGACTCCGCTGAGATGCAGATCGAGTAGGTTTGTGGTTTGATGGTGTCTGACAGGCAGATAGGAGGCTCAGTAAAACGCCAGACAAACATTTTGCAGATGAAAGAATTCAGGCTTTAATCAAGTTATGTTTCTGCTTCTTAACAGTCTGATAGATGGATAAGTCAGAGTTTACAATGAACCTGAAGACAAATCCTAGTTGTCTCACATGTTGGGCCATTTTGCCGGCCAGCTGCGAGCATTTTAGTCTCACTCACCAGACCTTTCTCAAGAAAAGAAAGGTCTGGCTGGGCCGACTCTCACTTTAAGATTGGAGAAAAAAACGCCCCAGCTGCGTGTATTTCTTTCAACCAATCACAATCGTTCTGGACGGTGCCACAGCAATGGTGCGCTTGCAAAAAATATTGCCGGGGGGAAACAGGTTTCGGTGTAACACGCCCACAAAAATATCACCTACAGGACGCGAACCATAGCAGAAAAATGGATACATCCCCGCAAGATCAAACACCGCAAAAGTTAGTAAAGGACGTGTTGAAAACGGTTGAAAACTGCTACACAACCGGAGGTGGTAGGACGGGACTTCAGCGGGTGGCTCGTTCTGCCCAATGAGAGGCTGATCTACGCAGCGAACTTCCGCCCACTCAGACTACGAGCATTTAGACACACAGAGCCGGATTGGCGAGTTGATCCGAGGCGCCCAATTTTCCACCTCGTAGGGTAGTCATATTGGCGGAATCCTTTCAGTTTAAACAGAACGAGGCAGCCTTCCACAACAGGAGGAGCTGTTGATGACGCCGCACGTGCGAGCAACTGGCGGTGGATAAACAGGAAACAGCTGATAGCTGGAATTAGCGAGCAGCTAGTAGCAAGAGGGAAACGCAAATCTGACAGACACTGTAAAGATAAGCAACTGGGGAGACAAGGAATGGGGATGGTGAAGAACGGGCCGACTTACGAGAGAATCACCGCCTGACTAGCGGCGGCTTCCCTCCCACGTCACTGTTTACGTCACATGCTGAGCTACACGTTTTGTTACTTGCTCACGCCCCCCATTGCCCCAAAAAAGGTGCATTCTGTATAAACAAAAATAGGTAGGCGGCATTTTGCTGCACTCCCCGATTTTGTTTTTATACTGCCAATGCTGAAAAAAGACTGATTGGGCTTTCCTGCAAATTTGCACAATTCCTGTCTAAAAAGGTCTAGCCCTTAAACCTGTCAAACACTGCTGGACAAATGACAGTTTGGAAGTGTGCACAAATTATTTGTAGTTGTACAAAAAAAACGACCTGTCACCTTGATTCTAATTTCTGATACATGAATGAGCCTAAATGGATTAGTTTGAAGATAAAAACACATAGAAAACATAATGACTAAAACTAATCATCATTTTCGTCTCAAGACAAAAACTAAGTCTAAATCTAAATAGCTGTCGAAACTAATGCTTCAATTTTCCTCTGCATCTGAAGCCAGAGACAACGCTTTAACATTTTAAATCACGTTGCTTGTTTGTCCTCTATTTTGTGTGGCAGCTCTAATTAACAGTAAATAAAAATTAAATAATAAACAATCTAATTGAAAGTAACAGAAGTGCATACACCATCCTGCTGACTGTATTTATTTGCCTCTAAAAATAGTCCACAACAAATGCACTGTTTACCCATTTGGGTAAAAGTATGGCGAGCTGTTTTAGGAAATTAGGAACCAATGCTCCTAATTTGTAGCTGAATGCGACAGACAGGATAATTTAGCTGTATGGAGACACCAACTTAAATGTTTATGTTCTTTGTCCTTTCACAGGATTTGTCTACAACAGGGGAAGTACAGAGCAATAACACCACCCTTACATAGAAAAATAGATTTCTTGTTATCTTTTGTGTGTACTGTTGTTTTCCATCCCAAAATAAAAAGCACCCAAACTTTTTCTGTTAGATGTAAAATGTCGTCTTACCCTCTGAAAGTCACACTGTGGGTTGGGGCAGTGGGTGGGCCTGCAGATGGCCACGTCGCTGTAGCAGGTACACTCCTGACACGACTGCGGTCTCCATGATGTGTTGTTCTGTCAAGAGACAAAACAAAACAGACATGAAACACTGCCGAAGATAGACTTGATTCATCACTATAAAAAAAAAACAAAAACAAAAAACACTTCCTCATGCTCCATTATCATATTCTATCACACCCACATGTCACGTTAATGTTGACAGCCGGAGCAAATGACAGTAAACATATAGACTCCTTTCTGCATATTAATGTGACTGATAAAAGGTTGTTTTTTTGCTCACTTGCATTGAGATTTGCAGATAATGTTGCTTCAGTCTTCTGCAGTTTGATTTACATCATCTGCTGTCTAACTTTCCAAAGTTTATTTTCTCCTCACCATTGCTGACACAAAATAGATACCAGGCGTTATGACAATCACTGCACAGTGTGCAGTAATCATGCATTATAGACACACTATGCAACAGACACATGGAGTGAACAAACGATGGATGTATATTATTCAGTCTTATTACTCAGGAGAATCAGAACTGCCTCCATGCTCTGCAGCAGTTTGTACCACCATAAGAAAATCATTTCACACTTTGAACTCTTATCATCTTCTATACTTAAGGCTGTAAACCATTGAAGGATTTCTGCTGCAGGTGGACTGAGACTGCTTCAGTGTTGATTAAAAGCCTTGAGCACCATGGCCAACTACACAATGAGATAGAGCAAAAGAAGGCAGAAAGGCTGGAGATCACTTCTACCAGTTGGCTGCACCCTTTAGCATGCCTAGTGTTTGTCAATAGCTCATAACATCGAGCTGACAATGTCTTATGGCTAGCTTGAAGCCAAACCTAAATCAATATTCCAGCCTGCATATGCTCAGATATATCATCTTACAGTCCATAAATCCGATTTAGACGGATGATTAATTACCCACTCATGACGGGAATATCCACGGGCAGCTGTGCTTATGGAGTGGACACTTCATGGAGGGGGGTGACCGTTAAATGTGGAGACTTTGCTCCATTTGAGACGGTAACTAGAGCAGACATCTTAATGGACAGGAAACTTTAGCCTCAGGTAACAACCAGACCACTAATAGTCCAATATACTGTATGCTGACACAAGAGGGTACACAGCAATAGGCAATACATTGTGGATGGATCTACGATAAGGTGTCCTGGCTGTGCACCCAGGGGCTCAACTTGCTGTTCTTCTTTGTTAAAGGAAGGATTGAATACAGTTAAATCAGGTAGGTCCCAAAACTAAAGGGTACAAATGGCAATTTGGCAGCACAGAGCGCCCATCCTGTGTACGTTATATTGGTGCACTGCAAAAACTGTCCACCTTCAAGAATCTGTGTGCAGGATTTTAACATTTTTGACACTGGAGACTAATGGTAATATTAAAAAATACACTGGCATTCACCACCTGATACTTCCACCAAGAATCTGACCCTGGGACACTGAGATAAATGGATGCTTCAAATAGGTTGTATTCACCACCTGATACTTCCACCAAGAATCTGACCCTGGGACACTGAGATAAATGGATGCTTCAAATAGGTTGTACAAATATTCACCAGGACTGTATCACTTGTCTACACACAGAAACGTATACCATCAAAATAATTTGAAAGATGCAATAATCACAACGAAACTTAAGTGTACTTAACTAGGGCTGCCCCCTTATAGTCGACCAAACGTTAGTCGACTAGAAAGGTCATTCGTCGGCAAGATTTCATTGGTCACTTAGTTGCAGGGAATACAAAACACACAAACAAAAAACAAACGTGAAACTCCATTAGGACCTGTGCCTTGTCAAAATAAATCAAAACCTTTATGACTGGACCAGGTGGGAATTTAATTTGAAAGGACAGACACAGGAAGTGACCACACTCAGCAGTCAGACAGGAGCCAGGTTACAAACCAATGGAGGGCAGGGCTACCCAGGGCTTTACATCTGTCCCACGAACGATAGGCCTACACACTTATAAACAGCACCTGGAAGAAGATCAGCTCTGCACTCTGCTTCTTAAGCAAAGAACATGCCGCCACGCTCTTGAAAACTGGTACAAAAAAGGCACACCAGTAGCGCCCAGTGCCTGACCTTGGATTTTCCACATGGTTAAAGATGCGGCATGTGAACCACCCTTAATTTCCAGGGCTGGTACCTGCGGTTATTCCACAGGCTAGTTAATAACATGTCGGGCAGGAAATCCAAAGTGTGGGATCATTTTGAGAAGGTGAAGGACAAACCCAAGGTGATATATAAACTCATCTTCATTGGTCGACTACAAACATGACGTATCATCTGAAACATGGAAGTAGCTACATGCCCATTAGCCCACAGCGTCATTAACAGGCGGCTCGCTCAGTGTGTGACGTGCACTTGTAGATAAAATATAGGCCTATATTAATGAAGGTTCATTAGTACGGTTTTGTATTTCTCTGTAATGTAGCACAGTGTTAACAATGTTACTGATACTATTCTTTCTCACACCTTCAACTCAAACCACCAAAGTATATCATTTAATAATTAAAATAATATCGTAAACACGTGGGCAACTAGTCAACTAATGGCCCTAAATGACGACTGTTGGTTGACCAGGAAAATTCTTAGTCGGGGGCAGCCCTATATTTAACACATCAGTCTCATATTCAGCCTTGAAGACTTAAAGCACTGTCAGTGGGATAATTCAATCTTTACCCAATACAGTTTCACTTGTTTTATGAATTTTATAACAAATAAGGAAAACACATTTTGCATGAAATGCTGTGCAGATAGTGTATATATCAAACTTGAAATCAAATCAGACCCTTTACTGGTTAAGAACAGATGTCTAATGGGGTTATTTTACACACATACAAAGTAAGTGTTTTGCTCTCTATTACCAGTGTTATTCACATGGAGGTCTTGCACATTATGAGGAGAAGATAATGTGTTAAATACAGCCCTCGATCATTGCAGAAAAAAACCTCTGGCAGCATACCTGGTTGATTGCAATCATAGACGGTGAGAGAATCCACCAAGCAGAGCCACAAAACTCAATACAACCTGTTAAACTTGTAAGATGCTGGAGGCCTTTGAAACTAGACGTTGTCTAAAAACAAGCCATGTATCGAACCTAAATCAGTGCTGAATCAATTATGAGCCACTGTAGAGGTCTCTTACAAATAAGTTTGATCTAACCTGGAGGGTTGTTTTCAACATATCTGATTGTCCGTCTGCTTGTGTTTCTTGACTATCTGACTTTTTGTTTCCCAGATCCTCAGCTATGATCACCCTGAGTACAGCATATTGTTACTTACATTAAACATGGCAAATTATGAAAATCACATATTGTTGTAAAGTGTAATTATCCTTTAATGTGACTACAATCTTGGAATTACTGAACCGTGACTTTGAATTTGACTTTGAAAAATGAGAGCCATTACAATTCCTTAAACAGCTCTTCTTGGTAATCGAGTTAGGGTACAAGAGAAAGTCATGCAGTTAACATGCAGTAAAATGTGGGAGTAGCTATAGGTCATGTTGAAAGACACAAACAGAAAGGATAACACCACAGAATGAAAATTTAATTAAGGCAGCCAGCTGAGAGGAAAGGCACTCCTGGAGAGAGCATGTCAGTTGATATGTTCCCTGAAATGTGGTTTGAGCTATTTATGTGTACATGTGTTCATATACGAGTCTGTGGGAGAGCGTCTCTGCACAGCTGTGGCCAGATGTGTAATGCGTTTTATGTAAGGGCAAACGTGTCACGGGCAATCTCTGCTCACAACATTAATGTTCCAGCTCAGAGAGAAGGAGGAGCAACCTTCAGAAGTAACGAAAATGTGGGTGGCACTGCTTTTATCTCCTGAGAGAGAAACTATAGAACGCTCACACAATCTGAGATGTACAATACTTACAAGGACTAGTTCTGTCAAACAAAACAAGACTAGTTGATGTAGAAACAGGTCATGCAGAAGATGCACATGAATGTTTTTAACTCTTGATATTCCCCTTAAAGTTTCAGAAAAAGAAAAAGTTTCAGAAAACATGTTGCTGATGATGTTCAAAAAGGATTAAATATCACAAATAATGGAGCTATGTATTTTTTTGTGGCTGCAACATTAAAATTGCAAAGATAGAATTCCTCAGTGTATCATTTTTAATATTTTAACATGAAGATGGGAGCATAAAGCTAAAATTTTAACAGTGTAACAGCCTTTCACAGTTTCCAAACTGCAATCACGAGGGGACCCAGGAGGATTCCTTGAGGAGCTCCTGAAGTTTATACTGGGGAAAAAAACAAAAGTTCTGTTTAATTATCTTGGTAAATGGTTTCTCCTACTTTTTACATGATATTTACCTGCATATTTAATGTGTATTCATATAGGGGCACTTTTGAACCACATGGCACATACCACAGCATTTATAGCCTATGCAAATTTGCAATGCCTGTTGCTTTTCTAACTGAGGTCTGAATCAGGTTTATGGACTGCTTAAACACAGTTTTTTGATATATATGTAAACAAATGAGGCGAGCAAGCAATAGTGTCAACCAGTGAATGTGAAAGGTCATAAATTATGCTTATGTACCCCAAACAAGCTGTTTACTTGGAGACTACTGAAGAATATGGAACCATATTCTTTGGTCAAACAAAACAACAATTGATGGCAAAAAAAAGTCACCGATATGCAACAAGTCTTTAAAATAGGATACAGTACATAAATTTAGTTACAACATCAAACTAAATTTCAAGGTAAATGCACACAAAATCAGAGAAAAGATGCAAAGGCACCTCCAAGTCGCAAATTCACCCCAATAAGACAAGTTGAGGACGCTTCAGCTTGATATGAAAATGAGTAAAGTCAATGCCTAACACAGGTACAGGAAACCATGGTTAACTGGTGTCAGGTGCAACCATTAAGACAAACTGCATGAAAAACTCTTCAAATTTAAGATCACAGAAATCACACAAATTCACTTTACACACATTCATGTGTCTTCAGCAAACAGTTGACACATGAGAGTTCTCTGCTCTGCCTGTCTGCCTTTGAAGTTATTAAAAGTACAAACAGGAA